ATGTGGACACAAAATGGCCACCACAAGATGGCCTACAAGGGAGAACAGTTGGGAGGGACCAGGCCTTCAAGGGAGGGCAGTTGGGGGTGAACAAGCCTGGAGGGAAGGGTAGTTGGGGGGGACCCAAGCCTATAGGGAAGAGCAGTTGGTGGAGACCAGGCCTGCAGGAGAAGGCAGTTACAGTTGAATAGGCCTGCAGAGGAGGGCAGTTAGGGGAAATCAGGCTGGCAGGGGAGCAGTTAGGCATCAATCAGGCTAGCAGAGGAGTGGTTAGGGGGTAATCAGGCTGGCAGACTGAAACAATTAGGGGCGGGCAATCAGGCAGGCAGGCAAGCAGTTTGGAGCCAGCAGCCTTGGATTGTGAGAGGGATGTCCGACTGCCCGTGTAGGCTCGATCCTAAACAGGGATCGGCCCTAAACAAATAAGACATCCCTTAAGGGGTCCCAGATTGGAGAGGGTGCAGGCTGGGCTGAGGGACACACCCCCATAAACGAATTTTCTGCACCAGGCCTCAAGTATATATATATATATATATATATATATCGATATATAAAGAGGTAATACGCAAATTAGGCTAGGACGCAGTGATGGGTCATGACCGGACAGGAGATTCGTGCACAGGTGAGTTCCAGAGCAGAAACAGAGACAGAGACTACAGGGCCTGCCAAAGCCAGCATGGCGGCTTGGGTGGTCCCGGAGCAGACACAGGCAGGAGAGCCAGAGGACACTGAGAGTCAGGCATGAGTCCTGGTCGCCCTCTGGTTGTTTCCTCACACTCTGGGCTTCTAGTCCTATATAATAAAAGAGTAAAATGCCAATAGCTGAACGGTAGAACCGAACCACCAATCAAAGTGTAATATACTAATGGTATGCTATGGCTGCTCAATTGCTCACTTTGACATGCATTGACCACCAGGGAGCACAGAGTCAACTGGTGGACCAGTCGCTATGATGTGCACCAACCACTAGGGGGCAGATGCTCCAACCAGTAGGTTAGCTTACTACTGGGGTGTAGCCCATTGGGACTGAAGGAGATGGGCCAGATATGCCCTGGAGTCCTCCCGCAGTTCCTCCCCAGCCTGATCATGCACCGGTGGGGTCCCTCAGCTAACCTGTACCCTCTCACAATCGGGGACCTCTCAGGGGATATTGGAGAGCCAGTTTCAGCCTGATCCCAGAGGCCATTCCCCTTGGGAGGTTGCCAGACATAGGGCTCAAGGCTGGCGAGCACTGCTGTGGCAGCATGAGTCTCTCCCAATTGGGGACTGATTGGGCACGAGCCTGCAGCAGGCACAGTGGGGATAAACGGGAGTGGAAGGTGGGAGCTACAGGCAGCATTAAACCGCAGGACTCTGGCTGATCCCTGCAGGCCACACAGAGGGACCCCACCTGTGCACAAATTCGTGTACCAGCCTCTAGTGAATTAGTAAAAGTTTAGCAATGCATAACTTACAGAAATTCTCATACAGAATTAGAATTATTATATATACTTCAGATGTCTTCTAAAAGCCATTAATCTAAGATAGAAAAAAGAACTCTTGAGAATCTGCTACATAAACTGTTGGTTACCTAGGCTGAGATTAAGTCTTTACTAACCACCTACTCACATAGTATTCTTCATTCATTTTGTTGATACCAAAATACTGTAAGTAATATTCTAATTAGTTTATTCAACTAACTTTCCTGGTTTTTACAATATTTTCTCTCAGTTTTCTCAAACAGACACTTCTATATAAAAATAACAATGTCGCCAAAACTGGTTTGGCTCAGTGGATAGAGCATCGGCCTGTAGACTGGAAGGTCCCGGGTTCGATTCTGGTCAAGGGCATGTGCCTTGGTTGCGGGCATGTCCCCAGAGAGGGGTGTGCAGGAGGCAGCTGATCGATTATTCTCTCTATCCTTCTCTCTTACTCTCTGTAAAAAATCAATAAAATGTATTAAAAAATAAAAATAACAATTTCTTAGATTTAAGACATGATCAGAGAAAAATCTAATCTGGCAATTCAGTGGAAGGAATTTTAGATATTACTGTATGTGTACACTCATGTTTAAAAGGCTAATAGTATTACACACAATGTTTATCAACAGTGAATAGTATGATAAAATTTCCATCCATTATGGAATTACCAACACTGGTTTAGCTAGCAGACAGAGCTAAATAATATTGAATAAATATGAAAATGTATCTATAAATCAGAGCAAAACACACAGGAAACACATAAATCCTGACTTTTAACAAGGCACAAACTGAGAGGGCAGAGGAATCAGTATATAGAAAGAAGAGAAGCTCTTTCTACAGCACTTTGAAGGCAATACTACACAGAAGTATAATTTTAGAAACAGCCACTGCTGCTATTATCAAATTACATATTGTTTAGAACATCATAGCTCAGGAAACATAAAAAAACCAAGCCACTTGTTTGAGAAACAATGATATAAAAAAAAATGCATGGTTTCAAACCATATGTTTAATGTCATTTCTATAGTTAGTAATTTATGACAGAAAAGATTATTTTACCTACTTTGATAAGTAATAATTTATGACAGAAAAAAGTTATTTTACTTTCTGTGATAAAGATAACAGCTTGATAAAGAAATTTCATGAAATAATTTAATTGCAAAGTTCCCCTAGTATCGGCTATTTAAAATCATCTGTTGTCAAAGAAGTCATTTAACATTAAAAAAGCATTATTCAGAATCACAGGTTCTTAAAAAAAAAAAGTTCCCTATAAATTTCAAAATATGTTCCAAACATTTTCCTAAAGTATCAACAATTCAACTAAATTTTTTCAAAGTATATAAAAAAATTAATTAAACCTAATCGTTAAAACCAATCTTACTCTGAAAAGTAATTTATTTTTAGATGACTGAGTTATATAATTCAGTTCATTAAATAAGCATTTGCATATCTCCTTGTTTTATCATATCCATTTATTTAAAAAATATTACTAATTTTTCCTTCTATTTCTAAATCTCTAAAATGAGAAATTAAATTTACCAAATCACTAGATAATAAAAATAAAATTATTTAACTATAATAAAAAATGTTGAAATCATGACTGTTTCTTTGTTAGAAATAAAAAACTCAAAATTTAATAATAATAATAACTTTGTAAAATATTTTAAAAAAAAAAAACTTTAAACATATAATGACAGAACTTAAAAAGGAAATTTTGGAGATTTTGTATCACAACTTTATATCTAATAAAACTGACTATTATTCTCATTTAATCACTTCAATCATTTACCAAAGACCTAGTTTATTGATCATTCTCAGCTTCAAGAATAACAATATGAATATATTATTTCACTGCCCTCAAAGAGTTCAGATTGTAGTGGAAGAGAAAGACATAAACAAATTATAATATAATATGATATGATAAAAGAAAAATAATGATACATTCACAAAAACTTCAGGTCCAAGAAAAAGTGTTTTGAGACAGAACAAACAGATGTTAGAAAATGCACCGCAAAAGAGTGACATTTAGTTGGACCTGAAAAAATAAAGAATTTATTGAAAAAGAAGACATTCCAGGAAAAAAGAATACAAACATGAAAATAGTAAGGTCTATTCAAGGAATAGTAAGTATAAAGTGAGTCAGTAGAAATAGAAATTTGGGCTTCATGCTAAATAATAACCCTCTAGTAAGAAGGTAAGAAAATTTGGCTCTAAAAAGAAATTTCAATCGTACTGTTGATATTTTGCTCTGTTGATTAATGAGTTTGCTGACCACTATATTAAGATATGAATAGCTCTACCAACTAGAATATAAACATGCACTTACAAAGACATGAAAAAAATTCCATTTTATCAAATCTCAGGAAACAAAATATCGCTACCTAATAAGAACCTGTATATATAAAGTCATTATAGTTAGTGAAGAGAAAATGTAGTGCTGTGAATTTAACATAAAAGAAATGCAACATACAATAGGAAACTTTCTCATTAGTTTTTTCCAACAGCACATTCATTATCACTTAGATTTAGAGTTTATATAAAATATACTTTTATTAATTTCCTACAGCACTGTAATTACCACACACTTGTAGCTCAAAAAAATAATAAAACCGACAAAAAATTATTTTCTACAATTCTGGAGGTCATAAATCTGAAATCAATTTCACAAGGTTGAATCAAGCTGTGGGCAGTCACACTTCCTATGGAGGTTGTAATAGATTATCTAGATGAAGCTACTAGTGGTTGCCAGCATTCCTTGGCTTAGAGCTATATCACTCCTATGTCTGCCTCTGTACCACTTTGCCTTCTACTCTTCTGTAAATGTAAAATGTCTCTTTTACAAGGACATCTATGATTACATTTAGGGGCTACCTAATAATCCAGAATAATCTCCTTATCTCAAAATCATTAACTTAATAATATCTGCAGAGTCTTTGCTGTAGGTATCATTTATAAATTCTATGGCTTATAATATAAATATCTTTTATGGGCCACTTTTCAGCATACTAACAATGTCATAAGTCATTTCAATAGCTACATATTACTAAAATATAATAATAAAGAATCTATATTCATCTTATATTCTCAAATTAAATTTTTTCACAATGATCTCTACTCATATTAGTACCAAGATAAAAAGCTCCAAAAATATCCTATCCTATATAATAAAAGCCCAATATGCAAATCAACTAAACGGCGGAATGATCAGTGGAACAACCTGTTGCTATAACGCATACTGACCACCAGGGAGCAGACACTCAACACAGATGCCAGCAGGCCTCCCACCCCCAGGTCGCCCCACGGGTCCTCCCACAGATTGGCCCTGATCACTGGCCAGGCCTAAGGACCCTACTAGTGCATGAATTTCATGCAATGGGCCTCTAGTTTAAAATAAGGAAGTGAACATTAAGACTATAGCAAGAAAATGTCTGGTAACGCCTTAAGACATGATTCACTATAACTCAATTTAAATGCTATTCTTTGAAACCTAAGAGTTATGACAATCCATTTTATTTCAAATTTTTAAATATAAAATTTTACCTCCAGATCCTAACTGCTTATAGAATCTATATTCCAAATGTAGCTGTGGTGCTCTGGATTTCATAGGTTCCTAATTTAAAAAAACAAAAACAGAAACAAGTTATTAAAAGATCATTAGGCCCCAATTCCAAATGTTATAAATCTTGGTGTCAACTCTTAGATAATTAATATTTTATTAGGCATCTTTGTCTATTTAAGGTGAGATCAACTGTACATGTATTTCAATGTAAAATAAATTAATGTCAAAAACGTACAAAAGATTACATGGCTATTAGATCAATCATTAGGGAAATTTATGTTTGACTCTTTGACCTTGAAGAAAAGTATACACCAAACATTCATAACTGGGGGAATGGTGACCCTTACTCTATTTCTTTTGTTTCTAGGAATTCATCTTGAACTGTGTATTTCTTATGTAATATTTCTAGGTTAAAGTGAAATCATATAAAAGTAGGAAAGAACAAATATGAAGATAAATTTTTGACAGTAACAACAACATATTTTTTAAATATTTTACTTGGGATGAAGCTTAAACAAAACATACAGTTCGTAAGCACTAGGTCCATGAGCTTTGTTAACTGCATATACTCCACCAACTATCACCTCAAAAAATCTTTAGAACATTTTTTCATCCTTCCCTCAGAGTAATCACTTTTTTACTTCTATCATCTTTAAGTTAGCTTTATCTGTTATTATATTAATATTAAAGATATTACATGGTATATGTTTTACATATGTTTAGTAAACTAAATACCAAACTATGATGTGGTATTTGCAGATTTTTAATACTTCCTGTAATACTTCCTACAACTTTTGTGATATTATACTTTATTAGTACAGTTTTGGTAATACTATATTTAAGATCTTTTTTCTTGAAATATTGTTTATTGCACATAACATTAAAATTTTTTCTTAAAATATTTTTTAAAAAGAGATTAAAACAAATTTCTGTCCTGTCAATATATTTTTGAATTTAAGGCGAACATGTCTCCATACTATACTTCAACCTCAGAATACCAGACACAGCTACAAAAACATTCCCAGTTCCTCAAAAGAACACTGCATAACCAAAATTATTATACGTCGCACTCTGATCACTATGCTTAAAAGGTAAACCGGGGAAGAATGTAAAAGAAAAAAATAAGAAAAACAATAAAGGGGATAGTAACATAACATGAATAGGAACTAAAAAGATGACATATGTGTATATATGTAAAAAGGACAAAAGATAACATAATAAATGTTTACTAATGCATCAATGGTGTCAAGAGGGTAAAAAGATTCCAAATCTGAAATAACAGGACCTAACCGATACCACTTATGACAAGGAAACGTCAGCCTAGTGGAGTGGCTCCTGTTTTGACACAGTGGTTTATTTCCCTTAACATATCAGTTAAATATCATTCACTACCTCACTTGAGTGGACCTGCTCACTACAGGCTGCTGCATCAATAACACAGCATATGGGTGTTACTACACTTCTATTCTTGTGCACCACCCCCACTCCCAACACCATCCAATGTCTACACCCTAGACCACTGAAATAGAACATGGAAAAAGAAAGAATCCCAAAGAAACAAAAGTTGGCAATGCCCATTCAAACACTGTTCAGTCCTTGCATCCTGAATCTCCCCATTGTGATTCATACACACTAACTCCTCCTGTACAGATTTCATAATCAGGAGGGAAGCTTGTCATTTTAACTTGGCTTTCTATGCAGATCAGCCTATAGAAAGAAAACATTACTTAAACTAATTTGGGTATTCTGAACCTGTAACAGTAAAATACTTCATTATAAAATTAGAAATTAACTTTTCTTAAATATTGCTGAGCTTGACTGATTGCATTAATTTATTAAATCTACCTCTGATTAACAGTAACAATGTCTGTGAAGAGATGACTTAACCAGATTTTCCCACATAAAGCCAAGGACCAGACCTTAAAACCAAGGTGAACCCCTCCAGGTAAATGCCAGACCAAACCCACAAGCCACTCAGCCAGTCTTAGAGACACCACAACCCTACTGTACATCTTACTTCCAGTGAAAATAAACATTTGCTGCAGTGAAACGTGGCCTATACTCACAAACATACTTTAAGTACAGTTTTCTAGCTCATCCTAAAAGATTTTCTATTTTCCCCCACTTACCTTTTCTCTAATCATCATCTCTCATTACCTTAATACAGTGGTTATATTGGCAAGCACAAGATTGAGAATGGCAGGCAGACTGGAAAAACCCAGGCATGGAAACCTGGCTGGCAAACCAGATAGAAAAGCTGAGCCAAAGAAAGTTATGTCTTATGAAAACTCCCAGATCCCAACTCTTCCAAAAACAGAGATGCCTTACAGCTGTCATTCCGGGCACATTTAGGAATTCAGAATAGTTCCATGGGAGTTTGCTTTCCTGCTGTTCTCCACCCACATCAAGAATTTCTGAATCCCCGAAAGCCAAGCAATAGCCAGCTTTGCCATATATAAAATATGAGTTAAAAAAGAGATTTTGAAAGCTACCTGGAAATACTTTCAAAGATATAATCCTAAATATTAAGGAAACTTTTGTTTAAATACTTGAATCACAAAGAGAAAACTTGCTTTCTAATTTTGATCTAATTAAAATGTCAATATGCCAGCTTCCTTAAGTGAAAAATAGTGCCGAAATTCAAAAATTCAATTCTATGGAGCTACCTAAGTAGAAGGATTGAGTTTCCATGGCACAGAAACAGAGAGACATCCTATACATTGCCATATACTTAAATACTCAGGTTATAAATGTGAAAATAAAAAAGTAACTAAAATATAAGTTAATCATTAAAGAAATAGGAATTAAGGAAAAATAAGACACATGAACTTACCAGTTTAATTGCCACGTATTCATTTGTATATAAATTTTTCCCTTAAAAAAGAAGGAGAAAAATGTCAAATTCTATCAGTAATTAATTCTTAAATATATATTATGTAAAACTGTACTCTTGGTGGGTGGGGGGAGGTTGGAAGCACAAATATATTTAGAGGAAACACAGGTTTCTTCCAACTACTTAAGAAAAACCTCAATGATGAGGAAATACTACAACTCAATGACATATTTACTATTTCACCTGAATTCAGAGTAGAAAGTGATACTAATAAATACTTCAGCCCACTTACATAGATGAAAAGAATCTTTTTTTGTTGTAATGTTGTACACAACTCATAATGTAATCAATAGTTAAACGCATGCTAAACTATATTGCAAAACCAGAACTCATATAAAAACAGGAATATAAAATTCCTCTCCCAATCACCATCTCATTTTAAATCATTATTTAATGTAATCTTATTGGGTTCATATATAATCCAAGTAAATACAATGAATACCTGGAAAAAAATCTGTAATATATTAAAAACAGAAAAAGGTATTATCCAATAATTAGCTCTAATAAATTAGCTAACTACTTTGGGTGAAAAAAAGTTATTAGCACCTTAATGTATAACCAAATTAAATTCCAATATCTTAAGAGTTAGATATAAGGCACAAAACAAGAAAAAATATTTTTTATTTTTTAAATTTATTTTTCAATTACAATTGACATACAATATTATATTAGTTTCAGTTGTACAACATAGTGATTAAACACTTATATGCCTTAGAAAGTGATCCCTCTCTAAGTGTAGTACCCATCTGAGACCATACATAGGTATTATATTATTAACTATATTCCCTATGCTGTACATTTATCCCCTTACTATTTTCAACTGCCAATTTGTACTTCCTAATCCTTTCAATTTTTTCACCCATTACCCAGCTCCCTAATCTGGCAAACATTAATTTGTTCTCTGTATCTATGAGTTTGTTTCTGTTTTATTTATTTTGTTTTTCAGTTCCCACATGTAACTGAAATCATATGGTATTTGTTCTAATTTGACTTCTTTTCACTTAGCATAATGTCATTGCAAATGGCAAAATTGCATTCTTTTTTATGGCTGAGTAATAATCCATAGTATATCTGCTCCATAACTTCTTTATCCATTTTTCTATCATTGGGCCCTGAGGTTGTTTACATATCTTGACTATTGTAAATTATGCTGCAATGAACACAGGGGTGCACATATCTAAAATAATGTTTATTAGCCCAATATATAGAAGTTTTCAAAATACTAAAAAGTGGAAAAAAGTAAAAGGTCAGAAGATTTTTATACAGATTTGATTACATAAAATATTTTACATTTCTGAATGTTGAAAAAAAAATCTACCATATACAAAGGACAAATAAGTAACAAGCCAGAATAAAGATTTAACATTATTATTATATAAAGAATTCAAATAAATTATAATAATCTTTGCAATGGTGGATTGCAAATAATCTAAAAAAAAAAAAAAAAAAAAAGGCACAATGGGTAAGCATCCATAGCCCAAGTAAAATACTATGGAGAATTTTAAAAGCAGTAAATACATGAAGACAATTTGATATATAAATTAATGTTCCTTTGCAAGTATAGTAAAAAAGAATAGAAAATAGAATATGTGATTTCTGAATTTCTAGTACTTTTTTTTCAATAAGCATGTATTAAATTTAGGGCAAGAAAACTTATTTTTCTTATTATATTACAATATTTTAAAGGACAGTGTTTTGTTTTGTTTTCACAACTGTTACAGTAAACAGCCCTGGTCGTATTGGCTACAGAACACAGAACAAGCAAGCATCAACTTTCACACGTGATTTTCCAGCATTAAGACACCTAAGTTCTTTTTATAAAGCAGCTGACAAATAGCAGTAAAACTTCTAAGCAAAATTTCAGTCTCAGATATATTGCTGCTATTATGTAGTGGTGTTTGTTCATACAAATAGTATAACACTTTTCTGAGTTTTTATACCTATTTTATAAAAATAAATCATAAAAAGCATTCATACTAATAAGTCTCATAAACCCATTACAGTTTGCAAAAAGATGGAACTTAATAGAAATACCAAAAGTGTCACCTGTATTTAGATACTTATTGATCCCATAAGTATTTGAAACATATATTAGAAAACATGTTTTTAGTCCATTTATTTAGCATTTATAACCTGTGACTTCTTATACATTTTCAAGAATATATTATGTATACACTTATAGGCTTCCCCTAGAGTAAATATCCAGTGAATAATTTAATGGTACACTAATTTAATCTTGAGGAACTTATGTCTATCAAAGGAACAATTCTATTTTAAGTTCAAAGATGAAATTTATATTTTCTCAGAACATTATAATCTTTTCAAAAACAATTTTGTATTTGTTTATTCACATGTACATGAAAAGTAAATATTCATAGGGTAGTCAGATTAAATACAGATTCCATGGAACTTAACTTTACCAAATACTTCTAGAAGTAGTTTTTGTTGCATTTATAGTCAACTATCTTTTATATCAAAGCAAAAAGCACTAAATCCTAAAAACATCATCTTTTCTAGAACATTAGAGATTTGTTGAATTTTGAGGGTTATATTTATAAACATCAACAAAAACTAAACAATACTACCAATGCATTTTTGTCACCTAGCATAGGCATAGGTCTCACATAGTTTGCTTTTAATCAATATTTGTTATATGCATTAACAAACAATGCACAAACTGTGTGTTTGTGTACAGTATGAATAAGAGAGAAGTGTGTATGTGTAGAGATAATACACTTAAGAGAAGGCTCCCAAGTAACAGATTGGTTCCAGCTAAACTGGTTTTAATCCAATTTTAGAAGATATTCACAATAGAACATTATGCCATATTAAACTTGAAAAGCTGCTGTTACCAATTTTATGGTATATGAATGGTAATTATAAAAAACTATGTTCTACAGAAACAATGTATATGTTTATAACAGAAAATAATAGTTACCCACCAATATCCATGTGCCCTCTTCTAATAGCATGCCTTCATTTTAAAATGGTCGTCCAGCTAGAGACTACATTTTCAGCCTTTCACCTTGAGGGGCCAAGTGATAAAGTTCTGAATATGAAGTTTATCACTCCCCACTCCCAAGAATAAATGTGTGCTCTCCTGGCTCTTTTTTCTCCTTCGTGCTATATGGAAGCCATATATTGAGGCAGAGGTACTCAGACAGCCCTGGGTGCTCTCCCTATGGTTTATATTATGTGAAAGGAAAATAAACTATTTTGCTTAACACCATTTTGCTATCGCATCATAGTCTATTCCTTACTATTACTCTAGAGGCCCGGTGCACAAAATTCGTGCATGAGGGGGGGATTCCCTCAGCCCAGCCTGAACCCTCTCCAATCAGGGACTCCTTAGGGGATGTCCGACCACCAGTTCATGGATCAGGCCTAAACCAGTCCATAAACCAGTGGTGGGTCATCCCTCTTGCAATTTGGGACTGCTGTCTTCTAACCACTCACCTGCCTGCCTGCCTGATTGCCACTAACTCACCTCCCCTGCCAACCTGATCTCACCTCCCAACTGCCTCTGCCTGTCTGATCACCCTTATCTGCTGGCCTGATTTCGTTCCCAAGTGCCCTCCCCTACCAGCCAGATCTCACCACCAATTACCATCCCAGGATGGCCTGATCTCACACCCAACTGCCCTCTCTTGTCAACCTGATTGCCCCTAACTGCCTCTGCCTTGGCCCCCACCACCATGACTTTGTCTGGAAGGAAGTCAGACATCCACCAGGTCTAATTAGCATATTACACTTTTAGTAGTATAGACAGATTATATAGGATAGGATTGCTTAACAGGGGAAAGGGGGTAAGTGAGGGGAAAAGGAGGGGAGTCTTTTTCAGCAGGAGATGCTCTCAAAAAAAAAAAAAAATACATAATCCCTATATCTGGACTGATAGCCAGCCATATGCAATATACTATCAAACCAGTCATGAAAAAATTGAACCGCTTTCTTACACATTACACCAAAGAGTTGTTGTCCTTAAAACCTCTTCTCAGCCCCACCTTAGGTTCTGGCTTCAGAGTTCACCCAGATTAGGTTCTGATTGGTCGGTTTCTATGCCAGTCAGCGTCAAAAGCCCCGCCTCATAGGCAGTCATTGGCACCTGGCACTTCACCCAGATTTGGTTCTGATTAGACTGTTTCTAGGCTAGTCAGCATCTCTGGGCCTATATCTGTGCCTGATTAAAGAGGCGGGGCTGATCAGCAGGCCCTGAGGGGGCCAGGAGAGAAAGAGAGGCATGACTGCTGGTGAAGCGGAGAGAGAAAGAGGGAGGCAATCGCTGATCAACAGCTGCCACTGAGGCTGAGGATCAGACCCTGCTTCTCTTTCTGCAGGCCTGTCTCTGGGCCTGATCCACAGCCCCCTTGGCAGTCAGTGCTGGGTCGCTACGCCAATACCAGCTGCAGTCAGTGCTGGGTCCCTGTGCCAACACCAGCTGCAGTCAGTGCTAGGTCACCACAGCAATCCAGCAGTGACTTCCATTGTTTGGTCGATCCTTTGTCATTATGGACCCTGGCTTTTTATATATATAGATTTTTCAGATAAGTTTTATAATACACTTCAGTTAGGAGCAGTATAAAAATCAATAAACATAAAAATGATGAATATGTATGTTTATTTGATACTAGAGACCTAAATTTGTGAATGGGGGAGAGAGGGAAGGGTGTTCCTCAGCCCAGCCTGCACTCTTTCCACTCTGGGATCCCTCAAGGGATATCTGACTGCCTTTCACAATCCAGGACTGCTGGGACCCAATTGCTCGCATGCCTGCATTCCTGATTGCCCCTAACCACTTCTGCCTGCCAGCCTGATCACCCCCTAACCACTCCCCTGCCAGCCTGATTGATGCCTAACTGCTCCTCTGCCAGCCTATTTGCCCCTAACTAACCTCCCCTGCAGGCCTGGTCACCCGTAACTGCCCTCCCCTGCAGACCTGACCCCTCCCAACTGCCCTCCCCTTCAGGGTTGATTGCCTCCA